AGCGTAAAAGCGGAACGCTTTGATTACGTTTTCTTTATCACTGTTAGCACAGATTAAAGCCCCGTTTACACTACGCTCAATTTTTGGTACCGTACCACTTTTTCGTTCTTGGACTACCTAAATATAGGTAGTCCAAGAACCAAAAAAGTGGTACCGGTACCAATTTTATCCGTGCCGTACCAAAAATTGAGCGTAGTGTCAACGGGGCTTAAGTATGAACTTAATCTGTGCTTCTTATGTGTTGGTGTTGTGTACTCAGGTGAATATGATGTTTGTGATGTTACTCTGAGTGTATATCCACACCGGGCGAGTTTGAAAAATATGCCCAGCCACGGTGGGAATCGAACCTATACGTCCTTTGGAATACTAGCCCAATGCTCTGCCAACTGAGCTACGCGGTCAGGACGGTTCGAGTAAGTGATATTTCGGAACAGAATCTAGTTCCTTCGATACCAGTGTAATCTAGTAATATGACTTCTTATGTGTTGTGTACTCAGGTGAATATGATGTTTGTGATGTTACTCTGAGTGTATATGCTGTTAGTCATCCGGTTATAGGCTGCCAATGGCCAAAACCAGGCCATATTTAGAAATGGCAGGCAAAAACAAATTTATATTTGAAATGTAAATCCAAGTTTACTGCAGTGAAATGAATATAATGAAAACATTGATTTTTACAATATGATCTCATATGACTCCTAATATATGAGACATCGCCATTTTGGCAGTTCAATGAATAAAAATGGCAGGCTAAAATTTATTTCACCTGCCAAAAACTTTTAGACTGGCAGGCCATATTTTTTCTCTACTTGGAGCCCTGGTCAGATCTAACCTGCATAGCAGGTGTTTTCTCGCCGCCGCCCGCATATGAACGCCTGATATGCATGCAGGCTAAGTCAAATCTGGAAAAAGGTGGGAACTTCGGGACCCTGAGGGAACATTTGCCTTATAGCAAGAAGATTGAGGAACGTTTTTCACACATACGTTATGGGAAAGTCTTAATGAATCATTATATCATACTTCGGGGTTCCGTATCTGTCATTTGAGATCGTGAAGTGTGTCGTTCAATGTTTACATTTGGCGTAATGTACGGTCAACATTTTACATTGTTTTTACGCACTTTTGAGGAACATTTTGAAAAAGGCAAATACGGGTTTGTCCACTCGGCAAACAGGAAAATTGAACTTTGATACTTGCTATATAATAATCTATGTTATTCTATTTTACGGGCTGTTCTAGTGTTCTGCAGTGTTAAAGGCACAGTTCAGCCTTTTGAGTGATGGTTTTTAAGGCGCATTTCAGCCCTCTTAATTGAAAAACTAACAGGAAAATCAATTAAGCATAATTGAAGATCAATAAACTCAATGTTTTTTACACTAAAAATGTTTTAAAATGTTAAAAACATTAAGGTTGCTGATCTTGAATTATTATGGTTAATTGATTTTCCTAGTTAGTTTTTTCCATAGGTTTTTTCAATTAAAAGGGCTGAAATGCACCCGTGATGCACCTTAAAAACCATCATTCAAAAGGTTTAACTGTGCCTTTAATTAAAGTGCTGTTTACCTGAGTGATCCACACGTGTACTTGAATGGTTTGTTCTTTAGCATTCTGTGAATGGAAAATACACGAAAATTAATAACAGTTGGATTTGAAAACCTGACGTCATGTAAGGACATATAAAATAAATCCTCCGTAATTTTTTGTTTCTAGGGTCGGGGGAGGAGTGTAGATAGTCTGGAACTGTGTGGTCTATACCAGTGTGGGACTGTGGGTAGCGACGATAAAGACAGCTGTGCCTGAAAAATAGAAGCAAAACCTCTACGTTTCGAGTAGCCCGCAAACAGGCGTTATAGGGTACTAAGCCCACCAGAATATGTTGAAAGGCTCCTGATTTTGCTTAATAATCGTCCAGTAAGGCCAAAAAAAATATGTGGGTTTCCGGTTTCTTCTTATAAAAACTTAGGTAGGGTAGGTCGGCTTTAACTTTTTTTTTAACTTTTTTTTTTAATTTTCCGAACAAGCGGACGCCATTTTGTTTAGTCAGTGCTTCCACATCCAAAGATAAATTTCCCTAATATTGCCTCAAATTTCAATTTTCCACAAACTTTTTCCTCTAAGTGGAAACACTTACAAGCATGACCCAATAAAAAAAGTTTAGGGTCGGGATTTCGACGTCCAAAAGCTAGGTAGGGTCGGGAAACCGGAAACACACATATTTCTTTTTTTGGCCTAACTAAAAAAGATCAGAGTGCTCACCACATCTTTTATTTTAATCAAAGTAATTCCAAATTTGACAGTCATAGCATCCGAATAGTTTAGCACCGGTAATATCATGTGTTGGTTTGAATCATTCTTGAATAAATGATCCAGCAGTTCATGTTGGATGTGTGTTGAGTCCGTCGAACAAACGTCTGAAAAAGAAGATAAAAGTGAACGATCGTGAATGATGTATCATATGTGACAGAGTTTGTCTGGCATGCGAGTTGCGAGTCTGCAATTCACCATGGTTACGAGTTTGAGAGTTGCAAGTACGCAAGTCTGACAGTTTTTTGTTGTTTTTTTTTGTTAACTTTACAAATCATATTATATAAAAAATACACATACAGCTATGAATGAAGGATTGGACAACAAAGCTATAGAATCCCATACCAAGTCCATCCATCTAAAACACGACATATTACGGACTACAAACTGGACAACGTAGTACTAATCACAGGCCTTTACACTATATAAAACATGCAGAATAAATACTACAATACTGTGGTTTTTTACTATACTTTTACTGCTATATATACTATAATAATAATAATAATAATAATAATGATTTATTGGTAATATATCCACAGAGTGGCTCTTCGCTTACCAAATTATATAAATTATAAAGTATTCATTAAGTCTATAAACTATTTTACGAACATTACTGCAATATATAACTTTGAATATATAACGTGTTCGACAGGACAAAATATTACTTACAAAATTACGAAATTAACTAAGTTAGAACAAAACTGTAATAGTCTAGCAGACTCGTAACTCGCAGACGTACAAACTTCAGTGCAAATCGCAAACTCGTCACTCTGGTAACTTAGTAACTTGAAAGTTACTAAGTTACCAGAGTTACGAGTTAGCCGGAATTGCAAGTTTGCACGTCTACTAGACTATTATTAGAGTAAAAGCAGTAAAAACTTAATTTAAACACGCTGACCTGACCTGAACATGAGAACTTTTAAGTTGCTTTTCACAAGGGAGAACTTGATATGCCTCGAAGTTTTTTTTGTTGTTTTTTTATAAATTTCCCTCATGTACGTACAATAAATTTATGTGTGCATGGACAGGTATATTTACAATAATTGCAAAGATTTTGGGCTAGAGACCTACTAGAAATTGTTGTAGACTTTTTATTTAGGCCTCTCAAGTTAATATATGCTAGTTTGTATTATATTATATGTAATAAATTATTTACAGTCACTCACTACAATATTAAAAAAAAATGTATTTACAAGAGAGAAAAAGAAGAGAAATTGTTTTTATTATAGAAGAGAATGCTATAGCATTTGGATTCTTATATAAGAATTAGACTACAATATACTAATTGTATACATATAGCAGAATGTTTTAGTTCATATATTTGGGCTCCATTGCTGCTAATGTGTAGAAGCTAATGTTTAGAAGCTTAAACATTACTCATTAATTTTGTTGTTGCTTTTGTCCTTTCTATTTTAAGAGACTCTCAGCCTAATGCACGTATATGATCTGCATAATTTGTCATGTTCATTATTTGTGCAGATCTGTTTTGGAGTTTGCGGAGCCTTTTAGATTGCGTTTCCCCGAAAACATCCTGAATACTTCACTGTCAGCTTGTGACTTTGGAAATTCGACGAAATAGGAGTTCTTTATATAATTTATTGGCGGGAAGATAAAATGATAGTCCTTCAAGTATGACAAGTCAGTTGATGAATAAAATAAGATTTTATGTAATATTTCAAATCCGACTATATGAGGACTATAGGACTAGATTTCAAGTCCGCCCAATTTGATCACGTCCGAGGCGAAGCCGAGGACTGGATCAAAATGAGAGGACTTGAAATCTAGTCCAGTCCGAATTGGAGGATTTGAAATATTACATCAAATCTTCTTAGTCCGAATTGGAGGATTTGAAATATTACATCAAATCTTCTTAGTCCGAATTGGAGGATTTGAAATATTACATCAAATCTTCTTAGTCCGAATTGGAGGATTTGAAATATTACATCAAATCTTCTTAGTCCGAATTGGAGGATTTGAAATATTACATCAAATCTTCTTAGTCCGAATTGGAGGATTTGAAATATTACATCAAATCTTCTTAGTCCGAATTGGAGGATTTGAAATATTACATCAAATCTTCTTAGTCCGAATTGGAGGATTTGAAATATTACATCAAATCTTCTTAGTCCGAATTGGAGGATTTGAAATATTACATCAAATCTTCTTAGTCCGAATTGGGGGATTTGAAATATTACATCTCATATACGAATAAGTCACTATACTTAAAATGAGGTGAATTAATTTTGATGCAGTCCAAGGTCTGAATTCATTTTGATCCATTCCTAGGACTGAATCAATATACTTCACCAGGTATCCAGTATTATCATGTGAGCAAAATAAAGCAATATGGTTGGCTAATTCACTCATGAATTATTAATGTGTTTGAGATCGCATGAGAGATGATTCATTCTGTTAGTATACTTCGACGGATAAAATTAGAAATACATTCAGTCGTTGTGAATTATTGTGAATACTTAATTGGTACGAGACATTAGTTAAAGCCCGATGTCCCAATCATGAAAATGAGACTCCACGGGGCACGGAGTAAAAATACTTCTCATGCGGTCTAGTATAATCGCATGCACTCAGAATCCAAATATATACATGGCAACAACTGTCAACAAAACCTGTCAAACACAAGCATCTGGACAAATTCTATCGCCTACAAAACAAATATAATTATGTAATACACAAAATACTTTTATAGAATTTGGGCCCATAAAACGAATTAAGCCTACAAGAAAATGGCGATGCAAGCATGGCGTGTCTAAATATTGTATATAGAAACCATACTCCATATAGATATCTTATATACACTAGATAGTGCATCTAATTATTCTGCAATTCAAAAATTGATTGCAGACTCAGAATATTCCCATGAAATGAGAACACTCGTATGTTTTCTATTTCTTAAACAGGGAACTTAAACATTAAGTTAAACCTATTCCAAATACATTTTTAAACTATTCAAATGATGAAAGTCATTGTTGTTTTTTAAGCGTTTATATATTAGAGAGTGGGAACTACCAGCATGGCCGCCATCTATTCAAATGGGGGCCGCTGGAATATTCTTGGCTTCAATTTTACCAAAAGATATGCGCTATCTAGTGTATATTTAACAAATATAAAACATTTTCCGTGTTGATATACAGTTATATCAACACGAGTGGAATTGGGAAAACGAGAAATTGTATGGAAACACGACGCCCGAAGGGCGGAGTGTTTTCATACAATTTCGAGTTTTCCCAACTTCCATGTGACAAATTCCGTTTCAACAACCATGTGACAAATGCCAGTACTCTGCTCAGCCGACAAGATAGGAATGGATAGGAATGTTGTTGACCAACCGGAAAGGCCTTAATGGTAGTCATGATTTCGCTCAACAATAGTAATTTATTCATAATTTATTGTATATAAGTATGTTCTGTGTAAAGCTATAGGCACTCTAAAGAAGGCTGTGGCATGCAGCCGAAAATTTAGTTTTTGTATTTAATATACCTTTTTTTAATAAACTTCTTCAAACGTAGCCGTTCTGTTTGTTACATATGAAGTCTTGTCGGCTGAGCAGAGTACTGGCATTTGTCACATATATATATATATATATATATATATATATATATATATATATATATATATATATATATATATATATATATATATATATATATATATATATATATATATATATATATATATATATATACGAGTAGGTTTGTGAATACGAAACGCAAAGAGTGCTCAATATCATAAAGATAGAGCAAATGTATAATTTCGCTGACCTCAAAATTCCGCAACAGTCTGTTTCATCAGTAAAGAATCATCAGGCGGTATGACAAGTTTCGAAAAATATAGGGCTGCTTATACGTGTTTTGGCCGGAACGTGGGTGTGTGTGGGTGAAGCAAAGCGTGCATTCATCTATTGTTTGCGTTGTTACGCGGAAATGCCTAATCGAATTGTGGGAGTGTATTGTTTGCGTTGTTTACGCGAAATTTCTTCCTATGTCTGCACGTAGATATAATTTCCATTCTTTTATTGAGTAAACGGTTTTGGTTTTCTTTCAAAATACAAAATTTTTCCTCTAAACATAAATTACATCGTTTTGATCCTCCCATATACGAAATAGCGCGTTTCAAAATTTGCCAATTGATATTAAAATCTTTCTTGCTATCTTTCAATGTCCAAATATATTTCGAAAGTTCAGTTTTGTTTGAGTGCTCTTTATGCTCGAAAGTATAGTTATGGTTAGCCAAACGCTCTTTAAATGTGGTTGATGTCATGCCAATATAATTCATGATCGTGTTAGGGTTGCTTGTTGTGACTGTTGCTTTGTATACTATGTCCTTAGTCATGCATTGTTTCTGAAGTGGGCATATTGCGTTTTTTGAAACAACTGCAATTGACAGTGCCCTTGCCCTGTGCCTTGTTCTTCCTAGCTATATGTGCTTAGTGATTATCATTTTTTCAATTCTGTCGCCGATTCCTAAATTGTTCGAAATGTCTTTTAATTCAGAGTCAATTTCGTCTATAGTGTCCTCGACTAAGGACATAGTATATACAAAGGACACGACTAAGGACATAGTATACAATGCATGACTAAGGACATAGTATACAAAGCAACAGTCACAACAAGCAACCCTAACACGATCATGAATTATGTTGGCATGACATCAACTACATTTAAAGAGCGTTTGGCTAACCATAACTATACTTTCGAGCATAAAGAGCACTCAAACAAAACTGAACTTTCGAAATATATTTGGACATTGAAAGATAGCAAGAAAGATTTTAATATCAATTGGCAAATTTTGAAACGCACTATTTCGTATACGGGAGGATCAAAACGATGTAATTTATGTTTAGAGGAAAAATTTTGTATTTTGAAAGAAAACCAAAACCGTTTACTCAATAAAAGAATGGAAATTATATCTACGTGCAGACATAGGAAGAAATTTCGCGTAAACAACGCAAACAATACACTCCCACAATTCGATTAGGCATTTCCGCGTAAACAACGCAAACAATAGATGAATGCATGCTTTGTTTCACCCACACACACCCACGTTCCGGCCAAAACACATATAAGCAGCCCTATTTTTCGAAACTTGTCATACCGCCTGATGATTCTTTACTGATGAAACAGACTGTTGCGGAATTTTGAGGTAGGCGAAATTCTACATTTGCATGCTCTATCTTTATGATATTGAGCACTCTTTGCGTTTCGTATACACAAACCTACTCGTATATATATATATATATATATATATATATATATATATATATATATATATATATATATATATATATATATATATATATATATATATATATATATATATATATATATATATATATATATATATATATATATATATATATAGTTTAATTTGTGCCCGATTACACTTATTGCATGTGTGATCGAACAACACGGTGGTATTGTCAGAAGTATAAATTTAATATGTAAACAGACATTTAGTAGTTGTTTGGTATACTGGTCAGGGCCTTTTTTAAGGATATTCCCGTGTGGGGCGTGGGGGGGGGGATTTTTAATAGTTTTTAGTTTGTTTTTTTTTGTTTTTTTTTGGTATACTGGTCAGGGCCTTTTTTAAGGATTTTCCTGTGTGGGGCGGGGGGGGGGGGGATTTTTTGAAAAGGGACCTTTCTGTGAAATAATGCAGTATTAGAGGGGGATAGGAAATGGCTGAAGGCCACGGGGTCTGTAGGCATATTCCCCGAGAAAATTTTTGAAATTTGAAGCCCTGAAATGCCATTTCCTGCATTCTGAGCATTTAAATTTGCTCTAAAATTTATGCTAAGTATACTAGTATTTGAAATAAAAGAAGGAAAAAAAGCACAAAAAATAAAAAAATATTAACAATAATTTATCAGCTTAGTGCCAGGTAGAAAAACTTAACAATTTAAATCGATTTTGTTAAACAAGGACAAAGCCTAAAACTTACTTTTTGTTTATCAATTTGTTATTTTTTGTGCTGGTTTGTTTGTATAAATTTAGGGAAAGTGGACTTTTCTTTGGGGTGGGGGCAAAATGTGATTTCTTGGGGGGCATAAGGCAGAAATCCCACCCCCTCCAACTTCTATGTTAAAAAAGACCCTGATACTGGTCCTCTCATTATTTACGCTACACAATATCTTACACCAGTACTTGTCCAATTACCTATTTTATACAAAAAATACCAAAAAAATATACAACCCCCCCCCAATGTATTCAATAGATTAATATTTAACCTATATGTAGATCGCGACATGTGCCCAGCGTCTCCTAACCCAGGGCTTTTGGGGCGAAGACCCTGGGTATGTTGGTGAGCACTCTGTTCATTGTTATTAAACCTTGGTTGATGTTGCATAATCTCTTTAGCTTGCAAACTATTTTTTTCCTCTTCTCTATGTTTGCAAACAATTTATTTGCACTTTTTTGTCTTTGCAAAGAATCTTTTTAAGAATTTTTCATCCTCCCCTGCAAAAAAATAATGGTTCGTCCCTAACATTTTGCTGTATAACGGATACTTCATTACTTCATTACAAATTTCGGCATAGATTGGAACATTTTTATTTGTCGCATGGCACTAAAGACTAAAATGTATTGTAAAGCAACATGACAGTTGTCAGTTATTTAGGAAGGCTTCCTTTTTCACTTTTTTCATAGGTGGAAACTGATTGGTAACGTTTCTGAGAGGAATTAAGATTCAAATATGAGCTAAATTGTTTTACAACCCTTTACCGGGCATTGTTGCCATATGGCAACAACAAAATTACCTTTTATAGTCTGGTGGCAGTTCTCAAAAATATCGCGTTCGATGGACATTTATAGTAGAAGCGGGAAACAGGGCTTAAAATGACCGTGTTGTGCTTCTTTTTAAGAATATCGCTGTTTCCAGCTTCAAATATGGTTGCTAAGTGTGTTAAGGGGGCTTTAATTCGGACATGTGTTTGTTCAACATGAAAACGAGGCTGAGTTGAAAAAACGTTTTAAAAGCCATAAAAAGTTTCTTGGGCTGTGTAAATGACTTTACAACTATTTAGAGTATGAATGTACTTAACATCTACCCAGATCGAAGCTACAAATTTGTCACGTGATCTGGCAGATTGATCACGTGACTGTCGAAAATTTGATTAATAACTTACTTTCCAGTGCCAATTTTAATGTAATGAAAACAAATTACGGCTTGTAATACTATAATACTACCATATGACTAACAAAAAAGTCGAATGCACAAATTCATAAAATTTATAATTGTTTGATAAACAACTCAAATTCCACAATTACGTAACAAAATATATAACTGGAATTTAAAAGGATATGGCAGCATAAATTATTTGAAACAACATTTAAAATGATATATAAACTTCCTTTGCAATTTTTCCGCATCTTGCTTGGGTTTCGAAATAAATCGACTTATTTTGATCAAAAGCAGTGTGCATTCCGCCATCTTGGATATGCATTCAATATGCATACGTCACAAGTAGAATAAAAAGTGATTTTTTTGTCTTGCAACCACATTTCAATATGAATATGAAACTTGATTTTCGGAAATCTTTTTAGTACTTAATTAACTCACAACACTTTAAGAAATTTTTTTAAGAAATTTAGTTCCACATGAAGACGTTTTAACAAGTCTGCCCTGCTTGTGACGTCATCAATTAGGTCAGTTATAATACCAAGATGGCGGACTGCACCTGACTCTTCCACATTACCTCAACCGTTATCCGTATACGCGGTCGCGATTAATATCTTCACGTTCTATCGCATTCCCATTAAGCCCCGCGCTCCCATTGTTTTTCCACTGATCTCTATTCCCAACTGAAGCGACGAGGGACGAGGCAGGGACTACACACTGTCTTTGATCAAAATATTTCGAAAATCAAGCAAGGTACGAAAAAGTTGTAACGCTTCTTCATATGTAACTTTAAAAGTTCTTTCAAATAAGACAAAGTTAATTTTTATTGGCATATCCCTTTAAGATGAATACACAGATCACTTGAATGAATTGAAATATATTAACATGTCTTATTTTCGAGAGTTCAGCATAGACGTTTTATTCCTCCAAGATTGTGTTTACGCAATTATCACCGCAATTACAAGCTTTGGAGCATGTTAAAGATAGGCGTACACAAGTGCATCTTCGTGTTCCACATGAACGCTCAGCGGAACAACCGCAGTACGCCAGCTGTACGCAAGATGCTGAGACTGGTTCTTCAGTCGTTAGCGTGGGCTTCAGAATGCCGTCATCGAAATTCCATCCATTTTCTTCTGGACTTGGAAGAACAGGGCACGGTTCCAAGGCTTTCTTCCATATGAATGTCTGCAGATGCGCACGCTTGATGTGGAGAAAAAGTGTATTTTGAGTGGGTGGCAGAGAATCCAAGCTTTTAGTTGCTCGTCTAAATAACGCCACTCTTTCATGGTTGATGAGCACGTTATCTGTATTTGGATTGTAAAGGTGGCACACAAAGGTTTCCGCATTGGAAAGAACTTGGTCATTTGCGATGCTTTCTTCGCCAAGATGTTCCAGAAGGTCATGATTCTTAACGAAAACGGTCCACGCAGATTTCTTACCAATACCAGCAAACTGACTAGTAGTGTCGCAGCCCGTCAAAGCGTGGAATGCCAATAGCGATTCTCTTATGTCTTCCGTGACATGGATTTGGTGTATCGGTACATAGCACTTTTTCCTTGCCGTGCCCGAGAACATCCATAGAACTTCACAAAGATGGGGCTTGTGAGCCGTGAGAAGCAGGAACACATCAGTGTCGCGCGATATTACATTGATCTGCTGACTTCCTCGCAGTGTAGCGTCCCTGGCATGTAGAACGATGCGAGTATCTGCTTCCTCCTGGTCGGATTCAAGTCTGGAGACATCTCGACCGATTGAACTCCACGTTTTCTTTGGGTCATTAAAGCCTCCACTGACAACAAGTTCTTGACCAAGAAGTAGCTGGCAATTTTCAGAAAGTTGTGTGCAAAGGAAATGTGCCAGACTTGCCTTATTCTCGTCGAGAGAAACAAATCTGTCCCAGTTTCCAATTTTCTGGTCACGGCTTTCAACTTTTCTCTTAATTCCTTTACCTCTTACACCTTTCCTCTTCGCACGAGTCCCTCCTTTAATGGAGTTGTCCAAGTACCGATCAAATACAATATCAACTCTTGTGCATTTATCAGAAAAGTGCGAGAGAACATATGACTGGAACTTGTCGCACCATTCGCCGAACGTCGTGGATTTCCCCCGATTTCCTAGTGCCTGTACGGAAGCCATTCCATCGATGATGGTGCATGTGTCATCTACGTCCGTAGGACGGCTTTGTGTTGTGTTTTCTTGCAGTATATGACTCAGATCAGCCTTACTTGTACAGTTCCTTAGCTTTCCATCTACGGTGGCTATCGATAGTGGAACTGACGAGAGTTCACGTTCCAGTAAAGCATCAACGTCAACTTCTCTTCCCGATTCCAATGCAACTACAACTCTTCTGAAAAGATCTCTGTCCGCCTTGACAGACACTGTTTTGTCTTTGTTGACTTTTACATCGACAGAGTAGAGTGTTTCAAACGTCTTAAGCTTTTGTTGTTTGATCTTGTCGTGCAACTTGGTTTCTTTCTTTATCAATCTTTCTTGAACAAAGGTTTTAACAGCCGCTTCTCCTCGTTCTTTTGCCTGCAACAGATCGTTCCTGATATCATCTGAAGCTACATCGCCGGTTGTAACAGCTACCAGGTCAGTTGTTTGTCGAAACACGTCATAACGCTCAAATTGAGCAACCAGCTTGACCACATCCTCTTCATCGCGTCTGATCCTGTTACGACCAGTGTCTTTGTGATCACTTCCATCCGTTCTCATGACATTAAACATGGCTTTGGTATCTTCGGAAAGCTGTGCTCTCTCGTTGTATGTGATGCACCAGCGATCTCGTGCAGCGTCTGATCTTGTTATGCCAACTAAGCCTCCAGCTACTTTTCCAGCTCGATTTACATGCTCCAGAGCTTGGTCGTCCGGGATCTGATTGAATTGATTCGTAGTCTCCTTGGTAACGAAATCTCCTTCCTGGAATCCCTGATACACTTCGGGGGCGATTTGTTGCAACATCTTCATATCGGAAAGGAAGACTGTACCCCATCTGAAATAGTTCACGTGGTCAAATGCAGCAAACCAGGGAAGCATTTCAGAAAATGACGACAGAAAGAGATCCCATTTACCTTCTCGTATCGCCCTCGTGAATCGGAGTAGAATGGAGACCAGCCGCATATAGGTTCTCCAAAAGCAAAATGTCGCATCATCCTTGTGCCATGCATCAAATTCTTCAAAGAATTCCGGAATGTTAGTAAAGTTTTCCAAAACCGAGATATAAGCCAGTTGCTTTGATTCATCATCTTGAGAGAAAAACTCTTCCGCCAGTCGTTTCGCCGGTTCCTGTGAATAACTATTAGCATCTTTGCTATTTTCATCACACCAGGTTTCAAACAGGGGCCACAACACTCTCCAGAGGGCTTCGAAAGTCAACTTGTGAGCGCGTATCACACGGTTCCAAATCTTTCCTTTCAGGATATTATCCGCTGTTGTCTCGCCAAAAACGCCACTTTCTTCCCAGATATCACTAAGTCCTGAAGACTCCACGTATTTTCCGATGACTTTCGAGAAGGTCATTTGAGCGTGGAAACCTCCTAACATGATGACCAAATTCTTGCATTCAGTAGATTTTGACCACTGGAGCATCTTCGCTTTACAATAAAGGGCTTCGTCTAGAGTAATAACGCTGTAAAGTCCGTGCCGTAAGTGTGTCATCGCCTGACACTTCAATATGACTGTCCAGAGAGTCTCAAATTCATGTGCTGGGGCATTTACAATTGGAAGTGGGCCAACAACAGTTGGTTTTTCATCACTCTTTGACAGTACTTGATTGAAACCAGTCCATCCAGGAATAGTTTGTACTTCAGGTCGCTGTTGCGCCATTCGGGATAAAATCCATGCCAAATCTTCTTTGAATGCGTCATCTATCAGTTGTCTGTCAGGTGCATACCAGGACTCCTTCACGACATTGGAAAGCACTGGTTCCGGTTTCTCGCTTACCATGTTCACAGACTCTAGCTGATGAAGATCACTTGGGGCTTTGAGGATTCTGTTTGCTGTTAAATTAATATTAAGGTTCCCTCTCCGTTCTTCTTCGTTCATTCTGCGGAATGCAGCAGATTGTGTCGCATGAAATGTTCCCATTCCACTCAGGGTTTCTTCGTTAATATCTATGTTATCAATAGCGTAACGCGTATAACTTGAATGCGAGCTTTCTGTGAAGTTACGGGGAACAATTACGTTACCGTTAGTGTTGTATCTCTCTAATGTATCATTTGCGATGGCATTGTCTAATCGTAGGACTGTCTCGTAACTTATGGAATGTCCAGCAGCGTGAAGAAGTTGAACAAGCTCTTTTGATCGGGTGGCTTGGTGGACAGTTACTCCAATGCCAACGTGTTTGGGAGTATACTTCCGACCCCTGGAGACAAGAAAAACGATGTCTTGGCAGATGCTGAGGATCTTTGTCTTTAAATCGATATTTAATTCATCGTTGCTCTCATCTGTTGTATCGACCTCTCCAGCACACAACATGCGAATCAGCATATACAAAGTATCTGGGACAACTTCTTCAGCACTTTGCATATCTATAGTACCTATAGATTCTTGACCAGGTGTAACTTTAATATCATGACGAACTTTTATGGCTACACGGAAAAGCCAGCTTAGCAACTCCGTGTCGAGGTCTACGTCTTTTAAACCATCGGCACCAAGATCACCTTGTTCATAGTTTGCATCGTTTTCCTGATTTTCCTGAAGCAAAGACTGTAGTGCTGCTTCTCCTAAATCAGCGGATATTATGAGAAGCGATTCAGAAGGGTTTAGCGGCTGAATAAAAACTACTTTATCTCGAAGACAATCCTTTATTCTGGTCCTAAACCTGTCACTTTTGAAAGTTTCTGGTTCAACACCATACGCTGAATGATATCTTCTGCAAAAATATGTCCAAACAGATTTCAAAGAATATACATTACCCTTCGAGATCCCAGATTGAAGTACAGACATAACTTCCTCAAAGATAAAGCAGCTTTCTTTTTCTTGTTGTTTAGGCTGCTGTTGAGCAGTTGTTCTTTGAAACTTGGCGTAGCATTTTAGATGATATTTCCCTTCATCGGCAATCAAATCATTTGTACTTGCTAACCTGCGACTCATCACCGGATTTAAGGCAGCCTTTTCTAATATTTTTTGTGATGTTTCAAATGTTTGAACTTGGTTTAACTTTAGGCCTTTAACAATGTTTTGGCAAAACATACACTTGGACCAATCCATTCGATCGACGAGAGACCTTCTCAGACTAGGTTGATGTTGCGATTCTTCTGAGTGTGCTTCGCCAAATTCGGTATCTTGCGTTTGTCTTACAGTTACACGCTTCTGAAGACGCTGGATGTGTTCTTTATTTGTAAAGCTACTGTAACAACTTCGGTGCCAAAGTATTTGTTTGTCGCTTTCACTCAAATTCACGTTTTTTAATCTATCTATGGTGTCTTGGAAAGAAAGATCATTGCATTTTTCTCGGATAGTTGCACACTCTACAACACGTTCTATACCTTCAGCAGAAGCCTGAGAAAGGGGAAATTTCTTTGCCGGACGCTTTATACTTTGACAAATAAAACATCTCTTCCAGTAAACATGGTACGAACAAGCCGGCGATGGTGAAGTTCTGGCTGTGCCTGTAGCTGCGGCAAGCGATGCAATCGCTTCCATTTAATAAGCTTAACAATCTCTACGTTTTGTTAAAATTTATACACCAGCTTCCATATTTTAACTTGATTTATTAATATACTTCCAACTGCAGAATCGCTGTAAGGATTTGTGTTGTTTACGACGACAGACCGGCGCCACTTAATGTTGCAAAAAGTTAATTATATACGCAAGCGAATTTAATTCCAAAACGAAAAAATGTCTGCAAATTATAAATTTTACGAATTTGTGTATTCGAATTTTTTTGTTAGTCATATAGTAGTATTACAAGGCGCGATTTGTTTCCATTACATTAAAAATAGCACTGTAAAGTAAGTTATTAATCAAATTTTCGACAGTCACGTGATCAATCTGCCAGATCACGTGACAAATTTGTAGCTTTGATTTGGGTAGATGTTAAGTACATTCATACACTAAATAGTCGTAAAGACATTTAGACAGCCCAAGAAACTTTTTATGGCTTTTAAAACGTTTTTTCAACTCAGCCTCGTTTTCATGTTGAACAAACACATGTCCGAATTAAAGCCCCCTTAACGCACTTAGCAACCATATTTGAAGCTGGAAACAGCGATATTCTTAAAAAGAATCACAACATGGTCATTTTAAGCCCTGTTTCCCGCTTCTACTCTAAATGTCCATCGAACGTGAAAAATAAGGCTATTCCAGGATAGTGCCACCAGACTATTACAGTAAAGCCACCTTAATACTGAAAAGACGTTTTACTTTGCTAACATGAAGTATTACACCTTCTATTTTATTTCTTGTCCGCCATTTTGTTGAAATACGATGGAAAGCATGTTTTTTCGTGGATTTAAAGGTGAGTATTTTACTTTGCTTTATCGTAGCATTATTCCTATGTATTGATAAGCTTAGTGTTCGATAGCTAAAGTGTTTTACCAAATAAATACGGGTGATAAATACATTAAAAATGTGACTTTTAAAATACCTGCAATTGTTTGGGGTTACAGTTTGACAATGTCGTTGCACACTAGAGCTATGTGCTTAGCAAAATGTCATTCGTGACTGTTGGCGTAAGGAGATAGCTCTCGTGTGCGGGCGATTTACGAACGACTTTTGTCATTCGTGCCACTTACGCCAAATATCTAACATGTTTGATAATTTCTGCCTCGCGTGCCAAAATCTTTCCGTGTGCGGCGAACGAAAGCTATCTGCTTACGGATTGTCGTAACAGCGCATGCGTAGTATACGAAAATAAACATCCAAGATGGCGGCGCAAAATGAATTGCTGGCCGAGGCAATTTTAGAGGACAAACTTGTCGAACTTTGGCCTGAATACAAATGTTTATACAATGTGAGTTCTGCAGATTTTAGAAATAGGGACAAAAGGGAATGTGCGGTGAAAGAAATAGCCAGTAAGCTTATAGCAGTAGCTAGTAAAATAACAACACCTCTTCGTCTTCACATTCATCCATTGTGTGAGCTGTTCGCCATCTTGGATGTTTACTTTCGTATACTACGCATGCGCTGTTACGACAATCCGTAAGCAGATAGCTTTCGTTCGCCGCACACGGAAAGATTTTGGCACGCGAGGCAGAAATTATCAAACATGTTAGAGATATTTGGCGTAAGTGGCACGAATGACAAAAGTCGTTCGTAAATCGCCCGCACACGAGAGCTATCTCCTTACGCCAACAGTCACGAATGACATTTTGCTAAGCACATAGCTCTAGTGTGCGCCGGCCTTTAGACAGTTCAAAAGTATTTGTTGCCAAATGGCAACAATGCCCGTTTAGGGTTACAATTTTTGTGGAATTAATGATATGTCTTTTAGCTTTTTTTGTCATTATTATACTACAGTGAGACCACATATCCATCTGCTTTCTTGTTGAGGTATAGAAAAATTGTTAATATTTGATAAATTATTAAGTCTGAGGCTGAGTACAAAAATTATCTTCAGAAAAAAAGTAAACCAACTGCCTTTACTTGGGTATATTATTTACTTTATTCTTATTTATAGTATAAATTGAACTTGTTGGCATCTAATGCTTGTATACCTGTAATACATCATGTTTAAAGCTAAATATTATATTTAACCTGCAGAGTGCTAATTATGGAAAAGCAGACAAAAATTCGATACGGCACTGAAAAGGCGATTCAATATATTCTGGCACCCGGTTCGGATTCTGAACTGTCAGAGCTTGAAGATGATGATGATTGTGTGGATGAAGTTGCAGCGAATGAATGCTGTGAGGCTGATAATCCAGAATCAGATGATAGTGATGTTGATGATAGTGAAGAAACTACCCCAGTTTTCAAGTGGAAAAAGAAGGAACCGGAAGCAATTGATGTATCCTTTTCAGGGGCAGAATTTACCCTACCTGATAATGTACATGAACTGAGCCCTTTTTCATATTTTAAGATGTTTTGGGATGACACTATTACCCAAAACATTGTTGAACAAACAAATTTGTATAGTGTTCAACAAACAGGCAGCAGCATTTCTACCACAAAGGATGAAATTGAAAAGCTGATTGGTCTGCAAATGAAAATGGGCATTGTAAAAATGCCAAACTATGAACTTTACTGGGAAAAGGAGTTGCGTTATGAGCCAATTGCATCTGTTATGCCATCAAAGCGGTATAAGAAGCTGCGACAGTTTCTTCATGTAAATGACAATTCCAAAAAAGATGACCCAGACAACAAAGACAATCGTCTATATAAGGTGTTGCCAGTAATTGAAGGAGTTCGACAAAATTGTCTAAAGGTTGAGCCAGAGATTTCTCACTCTATTGATGAACAAATCATCCCAGCTAAGACTAAATATAGTGGAATTCGGCAATATAACCCGAAGAAACCAACTAAATGGGGATTTAAGAACTTTGTACGAGCTGGAAAAAGTGGTATGATCTATGACTTCTTTATTTATGCTGGTGCCAAAAGTACTGGTCAAGAGAAATGCACATCGGAGTCAGTCGTTTTAAAACTTTGTGAAAGCTTGGCAAAGAACTGCAACCACTTGCTATTTTTTGACAACTGGTTTGCAACGTTACCTCTTATGTTGAAGCTGAAGTCTCTAGGCTATCCCACCACTGCAACAGTTCGAGCTAACCGGATTGCCAAATGCCCTCTCAAGAGCGAGAAACAGCTGAAGAAGGATGGTCGGGGAAGTTTTGACTACAGAACAGATGATACTTCATCAAAAAAGGTGAAAAGATGGGATGGTAAAGCCAAGAAACATGTTGACGTTAAGTGCCCAGATGTTGTGTGCCAATACAATGAGTCCATGGGTGGTGTTGACTTGGCTGACATGCTGATTGCTCTGTATCGCACAAAGATCAAGACGAAAAGGTGGTACCTTAAAGTCTTATTCCATTGTGTCGATATTGCCAAAGTGAATGCCTGGATTTTGTATCGTCGCCACTGTGATATGGGGAAGGTGCCAAAGAAGCAGCAGCAGCCACTCCTAGACTTCAACATAGCAATCGCTGAAAGTCTGATTAAGTGTGGCAAGTCTGGAATGGCAAGGAAACGTGGTAGACCATCATTGGAAGAAGCTGAGTTGAGAGCAACAGCTGAGAAGAGAGGAAGAAAGCCAGACACGCCTTTGCCTGCCAAGGTTATTCGGTTAGACAGCTCGCATCACTGGCCTGAGTATAAAGAATCAAAGAACCGTTGTCGGCATTGCAAACTTGGGTTCAGTAGAGTGTACTGTGACAAGTGCAATGTCTGTCTGTGTCTTAGTAATGCACGAAACTGCTTCAGAGATTTTCACACTTTGTGAACTAAGTAGTTGACATGATATTACTGTAGTATGTGCACAAATAGAAACTGTGGCTATGACATTTTCAATTGTTTATGCAGCACAATATTCATAACACCATTTTTAAGAATTAATAGAATTATCCTAGTTAGAATATGTACCTTATTAAATAATTTAAAGTTATTTGTGTGTACAATATATAAGTACAACAATCTTCATTTATTCTGCAGCTAAGACTCCCCCCGCCCGGCCTCCCCCCGCCCTCCCCCCCTGTATCTATGTAGCTCCCTGCTCTAAAATGGACCTGAAGACAATGCCACTTTGATAAAATGGATTTTCACTATTGCAGTTTGCATATTCTGGAAAAGCTGCATAAAACATACTAAACTCACTATGCAGGATTTTCACTCAAATTATACCCCTAACTGGGCGGTGTTGCCATATGGCAACAAATAAAAAAACGACTTACCCCCCCTGTTTTCCCAAATTTTTGCGTTTGACGTTATTACTGCACTACTTTTAAAGAACTTTTTGTGTGAGAACATTTTTTTAAAGATGTATTTCAAAATGTGCACAGTAAAGGGTTAAAAACAGTTTTCAATTTCAATTCATGTGAAAAACGCACGACGTTCGAAGTGCAGTTCCGGTAAAAAAGGCAACCTGCTGCCCCCGTGCTGCCCCCGCACTGTTTAGGCAACGGGGGCAGCTGCCCCCGCTGCCCCCGTGGCTCCGGCGCCCCTGGCCTACATCTCACTGGCTTGAAATAAAGGATCTCATATTTTTTTTCAAATGCAAACAAGGCCTCTATACGACCTAGATATCTCCTCTTTTGTCATCTTTTCTTCTAATCGCTCATCTCGCACCCGTCCAAGCAAGGACAACTTAACTTGCTTTTTTAAGTCAACCCGTGCAAAACCTCTCTTTTTAGAAACTCGTTTTTAACCGAATTGTCTTTCTATGGAACAATCTCTCTCCGATCATTCGTAACAGTTCGTCTGTTTCATCCTTTACGCTCCAGCTCCATTCTCACTACTCTTCTCAATTAGACTCTTCTAATTTCGATGTTAACAGAATGCGCACTTGGAAAACCTATTGCTTAAATGCCGTTCTTTCAACTTAAGCTGTTGCCCATAATCTAAACTATTAATTTTTATATATATAACTATGTAAATAGTGTTCTAGTCCTTGTCTTTAATTTACCCACATAATGGTATATCTGTGCAAGCACGTTTGATTCTAAACATGATTATAAACTCACTATAAAGCTTTATATGCAGAAGCGTGATCAAAATCTCTTTGACCAGAAACAGAGTTCAGAGCAGACATGAATAGCAATGACAATACCGATGGTACCAAATGATGGTTCCTTGAAGTCTTTAAGCTTAATGAAGATCTACGAAGAGTCGCTTCTTGGGGGTGATCCCAATAATACGAAATTACTTGTGTTCGCAACTCGTTATATGTTGAAACAGATACCGGCAGATCCCCATATTTTTCTACTGGGGAAGAAACTGTTTCCTGTGACTTCAGTCGCCGATCTAGGCATGACACTGGATAGCGGTTTAACGTACGATGAACACGTCACAAAACTGGTTTCCTCTTGTGTCGGTAGCCTGTGTCAAATTAATAGAGCAAGGCATGTTTTTGATATGAAAACGTTAATTCTTTTAATAAATGCCCTGGTTTTTTAGTAAGCTATATTATTGTTCAACCATGTCATGTGATCCAAGAAAAACATTGCAAAATTGAAAAAAGTTCAGAACTTTGCAGCACGTATTGTCACTGGCACAAAAAAATGTGATCACATCACGCCATCGATCTTAAAACAGCTTAACTGGTTAGCAGTCAATTATATGTTGCGATTCCGAGATAGAGTAATGGTTTATAAATGTATTAATGGTATGTTCCCATCATATTTATGTCGTATGCTTCAACAAGATCACAATTACATAATTCGAACACAAAATCTAACGGAATTTGAAATACCTTTATATAGGACAGCGACCGCACAACGTTCTTTTCGCTACCGAGCTGCTTGTTTATGGAATAGTTTGCCAGAATGGTTAAAAAACCATAATTTCAATTTGGAACGTTTTAAAAATGAGCTACGAAGTTACTTGGTTGAACAATTTTTTATGAGCAGAACTGAATTACACTTTTTACTGATTAAATTTTGAATTAAATAGTATTAACTACAGTATAATAAGTATTTTACCCTAGATTATTATAAATAGCTTGACATTATATATTTAAATTTTAGAGTAAATAGTAAATAGTATATTACATAGTTTTTATAGTATATTACACAATTACTTCTTATGACTTGTATTGAACACTGAAAAACTCTTTTGGGAGTGTTTAATTAACAGAAATAATAATAATATTCATTATATCAACTGAAACCACCTCCGAATCACACGGCGGAATACATAAAGGAACTGAAGTGAGTTATGCGGCTTTATAATTTAATTAGTAAATTGTTAATGCAAAATATAACAAAATTAAAAAATAAATAAATACCCACACAGAGCCTGGGCCACCTGTGTGAAAACAAATACTTTTCAAGAATCAATCTGGCTTTCGTAGCCTCCACACTACTGTTACAGCTCTTCTTGAGGCGACTAATGACTGGACATACAATATCGATTGTGGTAATGTCAATGCCGTAGTGTTTTTAGACCTCAAGAAAGCTTTTGACACCATAGCCCGCGTGCAGGCCCAAGGGAACTGATAGTGGGCCTCCAAGCAAGGCCCGGTATTTTGTAAAACGCCCCCTTTCAGTCGTGCGACCGCATTAGCATTTATAATGTGTGCTTCGCTGTCGCCATTGTTATAAATAAATTGTCTCACTTATCAGATCGTGTGTGCAATTCTTGTTGGGCGGAAAGTACGAAATTTATTTCAGTTATTTCATTTGGTAAAGAACTCTACAAAAGAAGAGAGCGTTCAGAGTTCAGAGGTCTAAAAAAAAAATTTTCCGGAAAAAATTTTTTTCGGCACTAGTCGGGCACAATCCGAAAAAGTCGGGCAAATTTCTCTCTCCCCCCCCAATTTTTTGCTTCCCGTACGCCTATGCAATAAACAGTCTGTTCTTGTTCCTTGTAATCGAAAAAAGTGATCAATTTTCGAATTTTAAGCTAGCTTATCGAGAGAATATCGAGAGCCTTTGTGATGAATCACTGACCTAATTATAGAATCCAACAGCAAACAGCCAATCAGAATGCCGCGTTCGTGGGCGAACGCGGAAAGTACAAAATACCGGGCCTTGCTTGCAGGCCCACTATCAGTTCCCTTGGGCCTGCATGCGGGCTATTGACACCATCGATCATTGAATTCTGTTGTCAAAATTAAATGCATACGGGAGATTGCGAGTGATTGGCTTAAGTCTTATTTAAGTGGCCGCACTCAAAAATGTCTCGTGAATGGTTTTCTATCCGAAGAACGTTCTATATCCTGTGGGGTCCCACAGGGGACAATCTTGGAGCCTCTTCTATTTTTACTATACATCAATGATTTGCCAAATTGTCTCGAGCATTCCCAACCAGGTATATGTATGCAGACGACACTCATTTAACATACACTGCTGGAAATGTTCATGATATCGATCAGAACCTGAACTAAGATCTTGCGAGTGTTGGTGAGTGGCTATCCGCGAATAAAGTGACTTTGAATACATCGAAGACAGAATTTATGTTAATTGGATCTTGGCGAATAATTAGGACGTTTGATTCATCCGCTACTTTGGTAATGAATGAGAGTCCCATTAATCGAGTTGACTCTGGAAAGTCTCTTGCTCTAAATATTGATGAAAACTTGTCTTGGAATAAACACATTGACAGGATTTAAAAAAAAATTGCCTCCGGCATTGGTGCTCTAAAACGCATGATGTCGTTTGTCCCTGACAGCACACTCGAATATATTTATTATTCAATTATTCAACCACATTTTGACTATGTTTGTGTTTTTTGGGACAACTGCACCAAATTTTCTGCAGATAAGCTTCAAAAATTGCAAAATCGTGTAGCCAGAATATTAACATTTTCTAGCTATGACACTAATGCTGATCTTCTCATCAGAAGACTTGGATGGAGAAAATGACTCCCAGCGTAAAATTCAAAAAGCTGTTGTGGTGTATAAATCACTTAATGGGCTAGCTCCCGATTATTTGCAGCCCTTTTTTAACAACTGTAGTAGCGTAACCAACCACACATTGAGAGACACTGAGGGCAAACTAGCTGTTCCTACGCTACCTGCCTACCTAAAGAATAGCTTTGGTTATAGTAGTGCGGTGCTGTAGAACATCCTGGCTTCCTGTTCATTTAACAGTGGCTGAAACTCTCAGTCAATTTAAAACTGGCTGCAGTAGCTATTTTATAATTGTATAAAGTTTTGTCTCCACGGCACTCATGGAAAACAGGTTATTTTATTTGTTGTAATTTTTGTTTTGTATTTTTGTAATTGTTTGTACTCCTGATGAGATTTTTACCGTGGCCAAATAAAGTTTTGAATTTGAATTCTTCAAACTATAAAAGTTAACACCGGACGTAAACTTCCGTCACATTTTTGGACTATTTCCGTCACGTTTTTGGACTATTTCCATCACGTTTTGGGACTAAAAATAAATTGCTTGCAAACTGATCGGAAACAACAGCTCCCTCTTTTCTAAAGGATCGTTATCCCTGCCTCTATTTTCGTAGAACCCACTATGAAAAACTGCGAAGTGCCTTTTTCCTGCTCTGAACCGGAGCGGACGTGAACTCCAGCTTGTATAGCCAGCCACTATATTCAAGATCTTCGAATCGAGAGTTATAACAGGCGCAAATTTGAAATGCATCAAACGGCCCGCGAATGTTTGCAGGCTAAAAATGGTAAGAAAGTCTATTTTCAATTAATATTTATTTTATTATTTATTTATTTATTGAATTTGTCACCATGCAAAAAAAATTACATTGACGAAGGCGACGCATACATACATGACAAAAAAGTTATATGTGACAGGAGAACGGAACAGGACTTTCGTCCCACTTGAAATTACCTAACCCATTACAATATACAAAATGAACTATTTGACTTTACTCAACAATATATACATTATACTTTTGTATACATTTATATACATATACACATATTTGGAAACGACTAACATGACAAAAAGAAGTTCAGGAATGACTATAATTAGCCGGAACAACCAGGGGATTGTATGTTGATAACTTTGTAATGTACAAGGTAATTAGGGTAGACTTGAATGCAGGTAACGAGTGGTAGACTTTAAGTTATGAGGGCAGACTGGTCCATAGTTCGGTTGATCTAATAAAAAAGATTTTCTGTAATAATCTTGTTTATGTTTAATGATTAGATCGGTGAATTCAGTCCAGCTCTTCCCCTGCGAAATTCAAGGGGAAGAAGATTGGTTCTGCCAAGTCTCTCGGTATATGACACATCCGGAGGATAGTTCAGTATAAATTTTTGACCCGCCGCTGGACGTTTTCAATTAAGGAACGATACTTAACTGTATACGGTGACCACAAACTACTGGCGTACTCACGTTTAGGCCGCACAAGAGCACAGTACAACAATTTTCTGACTTTTAGATCAGGGAGTTCTTTAAATACCTTTTAACCAGACCTAGCGTTTTATTAGCCTTGGCCACAATACTTTCAATATGCCTTGACCACGACAAATCATTTGACACAGTGAGACCAAGACCCGTAATGAAAGGAACACAATCCAACGACTGATTATCCATGGTGTACAATGCTTCTCTTATCAATGACTTCTTCCTGGAGATGTTCATTACCTTACATTTAGACTTATTAAATGCCATTCCCCAGTCCAAACTCCAACTTTGCAAGCAGTCGAGGTCACGCTGAAGATTTTAACTGGAGGTTGCAATTGAATCGAGAATGGATTTGAACAGCTTGGAATCGTCAGCAAACAAAGCAATTCAGTTTGAGTTGTACAGAAAGTAGCTTGGGACATCATTGACATATAAAACAAACAACAATGAACCGAGTATGGAACGTTGTGGTACACCAGACGTGACAGGGAGCTAGTCAGAGAATGTTCCGTCTATAGCAACTCTTTGGTACCTATCTGTGAGGTAACTACCAAACCAGGAAAGAAAAGATCCGTTGATACCATGATGCTTTAGTTTGAGTAATAACAAGTTGTGAGGGACTTTATCAAAGGCTTTTGATAAGTCAAGATAGATTACATCAACTTCGATTCGTTACCGGATGCTACGGAGTCCAGGATGTCATGGTATACTTCTAATAGTTGTGTTGTCATTGATTTACCCCTGAGAAATCCATGTTTAAAATTGATAGAAAGAAGGAGAGAGGTGATGATAACAGTTATTAAAAACGCAACGTTCCAATACTTTGGAGATAACACAAAAGCAAAGAGATTGGTCTGTTGTACTTCGATGTTATGGTGGGATCATCGTTTTTAAAAACAGGGGTAATATTGGCAAGAGAGACATATTGAAAATAATACAAAGTGAATTGAAGGAGCAATCTCATCGGCGACCTTGGATAGAATTCTGCTCGGAATACCATTTGGTCCGCACGCTTTATTGGGACCTAAATTACGAAGTACCGCACCAACTTCAGAGGTTGCCAGATTAGTATCAGATAGTTTGTTACAAGTAGATTCCATTGAAGTAGAGAGTGTTGAAGGTGGATCTACGTTG